CTCAAGACGATTCAGTATTGCCCTTCAGAGAAAGGCTTACCTCTCCCCCTGCCCCCGCTTCCTGGGCCTGGACCCCTCCCCCCGCGGATCGTTGAAGGCTCCAAGATGACCCAAGATCACTCCAAGGTGGCCGCAGATAGCCCTGGATGGCCTCCAAGAAAGTATGAAATAGCCCAAGATTGCTCTAGATAGCCTTCCACATGCCTCCAAAGGGCTCTCAAACCGCCAGAAGACGGCGGCTCCCAGTGGTCACGGAGCCTCCCTAGGACACCCCCCTCCGCCGCCAAGCTAAAATCCTTCAAAACCTCAGGGATATCAATGTGTTGTGTCTTCACGCCGTGTCGCTGCCGACGGGCTCTTGAAATCTCAAGATGGCTCCAAGATGGCTCCAAGATGGCCCGAGAGAGCACAAAGAGGGGCCCCAGAGGGGCCGAGGCCCTAATAGCGCCCAAGAATGCCGCAAGAGGGATCAATAAGTAACTGTTCGACCTCCGACGGGGGGGGCGTAATTGAGATATTCCCTCCTTTGATCAATGACTTCCAAGATGGCCCCAAGAGAAAAACCAAAGCCCCCAACAGGGCCCCAAGACAGCGACAAAAAGGCCCAAAGAGGGCCCCAAGAGAGCCCCAAAGGCCAGATGGCCCAAGTGAGCTGCCAGCAGGCTCGAATGTCGAAAGATCGGGGAAAGCATTTTTCCCTCTCCGCAAATTCTATTCAATTACAGCCCCCGCTCCGATGAGGCATGATATCCGCATCCCCTCATGGGCGCTGTAGACACTCCCATTGGGGCGCGCATGGAGCATGGACATTGGCTCGTACCGCTCTGAGACTCTAGATCGGGGAGGCAATTATGAATGACTTCTGGGCCTGCTCAAACCGATCCCGACCTTCGGATTGACGACTGCCCCCCCTCTTTGTCCCACTTCGTGCTCCCACACTTCCCTGATCAGTGCAACTCGCCTGGGCATCTTTGCTGGATGGGCTGGTGTGGACACGCCGAGCGTCAAGAATTGGCATGCTGATGGCCTTCAGGTGGGCATCAAGAGGCTCAATAATGACTCCATACTGCTCAACGGTGGCCTTAGAACTTGCACTGAGGTTCTCGATCTGCAAGAACGCTTGAACTTGAACTGTGTTGGGGCAGTCTTTGAGGCCAGCTGGGCCTAACCGGCGCCAATTTTAGACCACATTGGGGGCCGATCGGGCCGTCTGGAAGTCTCCTGGGAGCCTGGTGGACATTTCAGAGGACTGCGGAGCTCGCTAATCACTAGCAATGAGTCCCCCATGGATGTCCAGTGGTATCCCATCCGTTTCGAGGTCCCACTGTGTGCAACGCATGTTATGCAGCGCGATACGTTTGCTAAGTCGATCCCTATATGCTGGTGTATCCTCCCGATCTTGACCAATATGAACCCCTCCATCCTCATCCATATTCAAGAACACAGGCACCCCTGAGGACGCCAAGCCTTTGCATTTCTTCTGGAAATACTTCAACATACTACTAGAACAAACGTGCGCAGCGAAATCCATGAAATGTTCAAAGCTTCCAACAAAGAACTCCCACCAGGATAAACCATAAAACGATTCCAAAGAATAATACCAAGAACGAAGCCCTACACTCTCCTGTCCCCCACGATGTCGTTTCAGTGAGCTAGCCTCCTTCCATTTCCCCCAACATCTGAGAGCCTCGCTTGAATCTGTCCTCGTTCTATCCCACAGCCGGCCAAACGCCGGGCATGAGGAACGAGAATCTCTCCAAGCTCTTGTCGAGTTCGCCTCCAGCGCCTCCTGATCTGTGATCAACCTCCGGGCAAAATCGTGGACGTCGATTGCCCACATCCAGTGCACTCTGAGAAACTTCTGTACAATACCTACATAATGTGCATCATGGAACTTCTGTCTCGCACGTTCATAATCTCCTCGCATTCCACTCCTGATAACCTTCCTCCTCCCTCCGTACACAACGAGACATGACAGCCAGGCACTTACCCTCAAAGATATGAAGGGTACTCAATGAGCTAGAGTCGACCGTACATCCTTCCGCCGCGTAGAGAACAATACTCTGAACCCTCTGTGCATACCTCTCATACTTATCTTTCAGCGGAATGGCCGTGGAGCGGAGGAAGGACGCCTGGCCCCAGAACGCCCTACGAGCAGAGTCAATACTAGCATCCAGATCTGGATGCTCATTTACATGCAGTTCAGAACAAATATGAGCCCCAAGCACCTCCATCTCCGTCACTCTTCTGAATCGATACATTCCCGAATCCTCCGACCCAATCGAGAGAACAAGATCAGCAGTTCGTAATATTTCCCCTTTCCGCATCACGCGGAGGAGCAGCACCGAACACCATGTACAATAGACTGGACTCCTTCCATCTCATACCATAGTCATGTAAGTGTGTAGTTAGACCGTGTAACATGCGCGTGAGTTCCTCCCGACTCCGAGCCAGAACATAACAGTTGTCCGCCCAGAGGAAGTGATTAATAACCGAAACACAGCTAGTCGAGCCTGTAGCAAACTCAATACGATAACCTAGCCCTAGCACGTCCCATTCTCGAATCGTGGAACTCCACTTAGCGGCAACAATAAGATTGAAAGCCAATGGGCCCTCAGGCCCTCCCGTCCGAATACATTTGTCCCACATCACCTCCAAAACCTCAATCCCATCATAATAAACAGTGCCTACACATTCACACAAGGGGTTAAGTAGAGCATACTGTAAGTACAGGGGCACGTTTGCATGATCCAACCCACGCCTGACATTGGCCACCGTGCAGTGATCGAACGCCTGGAGGACATCAGCGTTCGCCAAGTGTGCCGTTTCCCCTTTTCCCCAGTGTGCAGCATGTTGACCTATATGTTTGATACTAGCCGTGATTTCGTATGTACGACGATGTTCCTGGAACCCATACAACCCAATATGACGAAAAACTCCGTTTCTTTCAACATGGCCCTCAACCAGGAGAACAACACGGGAACTGAACCATCTCGAAACAGCATGCTGCATACACAGCAAACGACCGTCTTTTAAGTTAGTAATCCCTGGAATCTTGGGCATAAAAGAGATGAGGATCTGACGCCACGAATGCGGATAAGGAGTCATGAGCTTGATGATTTTATCGAACAACTTCTGGATCGATCTGAGAGTACACCACGGCAAACTCCTGAGAATCTCGCACGGTATCCCATCTGGCCCAGTAGCCCTCTGGGTCTTCAGTCGAGCCCGTGCTCTGAGAAGCAGCGCCATACTAATTCCCACAACTGATGTGGATCGTACCTCATGTTCGGCCCTCATCCTGATCTCCTCCATCATAGGTTACCGCCGGGGCCCTCGTAGAGCTCTTTTCTCGCACGGCGCTCCTCGGTACACATGGAGGAAGAGTCTGGAGTAAGACCCAAAAAATCGAAAAATCACGTTTTTATGTTTTTATCCAAAGACGGTTCCACCAAGTGTTTTGATAGTAATACTGCACCTACGGACCTGAGAATTTGACTGGCAGACGCGGCATAACCCACTACAGGTGCGAAAAATCTGGCTTCTCAAAATGAATTGTCAAATATCTTTCAAATCTTCGCAAAACCGACCCAAAGTTACCACATTGTCCTTTCTGGTCGGGTCGGCCAACTAGCTCCACCCCGCGCCGGAATTCCTCTAGCTCATCGATGACGAAGAGCTCTACGAGGTATGCCGAAGAGCTCTACGAGGTAAACCCGAAGAGCACTTGGTAGCGTCCACTGGGCGCCGGCGGTAAACAGTCAACCTTTCTTACCGCCGGGGGACTCGTAGAGCTTCCTGACCATATATTATGTCCAAAGAATCAGCAGAGAACGAATAGTTTTCAGCAAGAGTTTTCTGCAAGTGTTCAGCAATAGTTTACAAATAATAGTTTTCAGTAATAGTTGCAGACCGAGTTCAGACCTCTCGATGCAACAGACGAACGCTTCTAATGCTTCTGGATCGGTGTCTGTGCGTACCAGCTCTGTAGCTCTCCTACAGCCCGAATTCAATACAGAAAATGGACAACATCTGTCAAGATGAGTCGATGAATACAAATAGTTTTGCGGACCTAGCCCGAGTAGCAGACCCAGTTCAGACCTCTAAATGCAACAGGCGAACGGGCCTGATGATTTCAAATCAGTTTCTGTGCGTATGAGCTCTCTAGCTCTCCTACGGCCCGAGTTACATGCGAAAACGGACAGCACCTCTCAAGATGACTCGAACGATACGAATAGTTTCGCGGACCTAACTCGAGTAGTAGACCGAGTTCAGACATCTAGATGCAA